AAGCTCGACAGGCTTGCAGAGACGGTGCGACCGGAAGTCGCTTGGGACGCAAGTGGCAGTTCATGTCTGTAAACAGCAAAATGGTAGTATAGACTCTAGAAAGTAAATGCACTCTCGCAAAACTTTTCATATATGAATGACTAGTGACGTGGCTCCCCACGTCGCACGCTGCCGTCACCACGGCAGCTTCACCAACAGTAATCTTTACCGGAAAACATGTGCACTGAGCGCTACATGCTTCGCATGGTTATGAGGAGCGCCTTAGGCTCAATTATCAGGTTCGGATGATTCTTTTGTGCTTGTTCTTTATTGAAAGGAGCGCTGCGCTGAATGTTGTTTGCGTGATATGCACTTTTGCTTCAATCGCTAAATGAATTTTTTTTTCCCCATGAGGACGACGACACGAGGGAATTTGAGAAATCCGATCTGTGAGTCATACACAGCTTCGCTGAAAAAACAAACAAAGAAAGAGGACACCTCAGAAACGCAGGAAACGAGCTGATGTGACCGATCAGACAGCATCGGAAGGGCACCATCATGGTGTTCCTCATGTTTCTGTACGTGTTCCGTCATCGCTGAACCATTCATAAACAGAAAAGGCCCAGTGACTTGCGCTATTGACGCTGCTGGTTGAATGGCCCCGTCACTTCGAAGCCTCGGCTACGTCCGGACCTAAAAGTGCAGACGCAGCCGACAAGTGTCGGCCATCTTTTTCGTCGCTCAACAGCCAATGGGATTGCGGCGTGCCAATAAGGACGCCGATAAACCAACCACGAAGTTAGAAACGTGAAGGTAATATGCCACGCATATGTTTCTTAAGCTGGCAGTGACTCATAACTGGTCAACCTTCACGTTCTTTTTTAGGGGCGAAGCTCCTTAGGGTCTAGCCTTGTTCGGCGTCCGTGCTCACATCGATTGCCATCCCATCTGTCTTCTTAAAAAAAAAATAAAGAAATGTTTCCGCAGTCGACAGGATTCGAACCTGTGCGGTAAACCCCAATGGATTTCTAGCCCATCGAATTAACCACTCGGCCACGACTGCGGGACGAGTAAGGAACTCTGAGATGTGGTAGTAATTCAAGAGCTGGGGATGTCATGGACGAATTGGAGCATGTAGTCGCTCAACGTCTATACAGGAGAGGGCGCTGCGGTCAAATGCGTATATAATCACGTTAAACTTTGCATGCATTGGATCAACGTTTATACACGAGAGGGCGCTGCGGTGAAATGCTCAAATGCATATATAACCCATGAGCAATAAAAAAAAAATCAGCACCATCAGCACTACCTATGAAAGAAATCAGTATCATCAGCGTGCACCACCAGAGCTTCGCCCCAATCAACATTATTCACCACGTAGAGATGCGGTTTTTTTTTCTTTCTTCTTTTATTCTCTTTGCTTTTCTTTATCACTGTGGTTTTGCCAGAGGTTAGGGTTTTCCCGGACACCACAGTGCTCTTGTCCCCGAAGCAGACTTTGAGTGAATTTGTCATTACCTATTTCGGCGGTCGGGAATCTCGATGAGGCGACAAAAGGTAAGATATATGGCGACTCAAATCCGGCGCGCGGGAAAAGTGTCTCAACCACTGATCTCTATTGTGGTAGGCTGGATCGCGGATCGGGAGCCCTTCGGTGTCGCCACCGGCGTCCATTACTTGACACCATGCAGGCAATACACGCAAGTCTATGGGAGATACGCACAAAAGTAGGAATATTGAAGCATGTACGCTGTGCTCGGAAGTGAATATTTTATGGTGTGCTGCGATCCTTATGTCGGGTGTTTGGAGATCGAATCGGTATTGGTAAAACGTTCGAATGCCGATTAAAAATATCAAACGTGCCGGAGCACCTACGGCGGAGCTGGCAAACTTGCTCTCGTAGTGAAGTAAATAAAGGAACTTGCCGTCAGTGAGACCGTCCTCGGGGAAGCCCAGAAGTTGATGAATGTCGAAAACATTTCATGTTGACAGCCACTTTTCGGGGGTGAGCGAATTCCGCGTAGCAAAGCCCTCGAGCTTGTCGCCTGCTCAACATGGCTAAACCCAACTTGTCAAAACCGCCATTGACTCCGCGGTAACTTAAAGGTAACTCTGGTCTCAATGAGCTGCACTACATTTCTCGCCCAGCGGAATCACTCTCGACCACAAAACATTTATTTATTAGAACTGTGAGGGTTGTCAGTTTTAATGTTTGTACACATGCTATTCGCCAGGCTTCCCGAAAAGTAGTCAAAAAGTTTCAGTGAGGAAACAAGTTGAGAAACGGGAGAAATGGCACTTTTTTTGTTTTTCCCATAGAGCCCCATGCACTGGCTGGTGTCAATCAATGGCCGCCGGTGGCGACACTCGGCCCCAGCTGCCGAGGCTGCGGTCCGCGATCCAGCCTACTGCTATAACGATCAGTGGTCTCAACCGACAGGATCAGTGCTTACTGTGTATAGGCGGCCATAGCTGCGAAGACGACTGCTGAGCGCGTGCTGACAGTGAGCTTTCACAGTTCTTTTGCAGCGTGCATTCCCCACCATCAAGATTTCCGGTCTTAGCAGCCTAGTAATGTGAGCTCGTTCTCAGCCTCCGCTCGGAGCATCGCCCTGGAATATGGCCTTCAGTGAACACCCCCATACTTCTGTTCTCTCTGTCTCATCGTGCGCGAGTGTCACGCGCCCCAAGAATCTAAACTTTTATTACTCTGTAGCCCGGAGCTCTGAGTACCTGTGGCTACCATAATAGTCCTTTTGCTAAATTACCCAAGCACCAGTGAACGTGCGTGAGCGTAGTTCCACGCGCTGCTCTTGCTGCATTCTGCAGCATATGTTCGAAAGCAAAAATCCAATAACACATCGCGCCGGGTCGCGTGATCATCAGTGCTTTATCTTGATTATTTACTTCGAAGCTTTTATACGAATAAGGCGAGCGCGAGTAGTGTGCTTGGGTAATTTGGCAAAGGGTCTACACAAGTGATGAAAACTACCCTAAAGCGCCTGTCGAAGTCATTGAAGACCCACGGCACACGAGGAAACTTCAGCAACTGGAAGATCGTTGACCTCACTCTTGCTGGGACCAAGTTGATTGTCACAATGTTATACGACACTGCAGTTTAAAACTGTATGTCTTTCATGAAGTTGCGGAGAAAGTAATAAATGAGTGTAAGCGAGCGTTTGACGTAAAGTAACCTAGCTCTGTTAAGATAAGTGGAGCAATGTTTCGTGAAACCAGGGAACGTGCTGTCGCTTCCTGAGGCCGGCACTCGTTGTATGTGCTGTGTTTGATTGAGCAATACGTCCTTGATAATATGGCCCAGCTCATGTTGACTAGTTCAATAATCCTCAAAACCCTAAAAAAGGATAAAATGTTCAACGTTACATCTTTGTAGTCTATCACAACTTCTAAAGCTCTTATTGAGCATAACTTGATTGATCGTTCTCAGATGAGGTAACCCAAAGTGCTTAATTTTTTAGAACGCAGCTCTTAGGGGCCCGTTTCCAGCTTGAGCGGCGTCGGCGTCGCCGTCGCCGTCGCCGTCGCCGTCGGCGTAACCGCGCGGTGCATCATGGGAAATGTCCCATAATGCACCGCGCGAGCCCCCCACCGGGGTCACGTGACCTCGTGGGGGGCACGTGACCCCCCGAGGTCACGTGACCCCGGTGCATCATGGGAAATGTCCCATAATGCACCGCGCGAGCCCCCCACCGGGGTCACGTGACCTCGTGGGGGGCACGTGACCCCCCGAGGTCACGTGACCCCCCGAAGTCACGTGACCCCCGCCGATGTCGCGTGACCCACAATGACGTCATCGTCACTGATGACGTCACCGGCATCCACATCGTCATCCTCATCATCACTGATGACGTCATCATCACTGATGACGTCACCGGCATCCACATCGTCATCGTCATCATCCCTGATGACGTCACCAGCATCCACATCGTCATCGTCATCATCACTGATGACGTCACCGGCATCCGCATCGTCATCGTCATCATCACTGATGACGTCATCAGTGACGTCCCTGATGTCGTCACCGGCATCCACATCGTCATCGTCATCGTCACTGATGACGTCACCGGCATCCGCATCGTCATCGTCACTGATGACGTCACCGGCATCCGCATCGTCATCGTCATCATCACTGATGACGATGCGATGACGTCATCGTCACTGACGACGTCACCGGCATCCGCATCGTCATCATCGCTGATGACGTCATCAGTGACGTCACCGGCATCCGCATCGTCATCATCACTGATGATGTCATCGGTATCCGCATCGTTATCGTCACTGATGACGTCACCAGTGACGTCACTGATGACGTCATCGGCATCGTCGGTCACGTGACCCACCCCCCCAGTACCCTTCCCTTCTCCTCCTCAAGAGCTGCGCTCAAATTCGGCGTTACAGGGAGTTGTAAACGGCTTTCACTTTTTTTTTTAAATTCATTTTAAAAGTCAATAACGTTATCGCTGCAGTAGCTACGGCTCTAGAGTTAAGTCTCAAGTACTCTGCAGTAGCGCTTCGGCAGACACATAATGACGCCAGCGCGTAGCACCTCCCCCCAAAAAAATCTCCGGTTCACCCAGCCTGCGACAGCATGCCCACGTGAGCCGAGTCACGCGTAACTCTGGGCGCGCCGCAGACTTCAACCAGAGAAGCCGACTTCCCCACGTCGCACCCGAATCTCCCTCTCCCAAACATAAATAAAGGACGGGGGCGAGAGAGGCTTGCCCGTTTACAATGAGCGGCTGTCAAAGACGCGCCAGAAACAAACACCAGGAGGCAAGAGCACCAGCGGAGAGGGGGGGTCGCAGAATCGGATAGAACCTTCCCTCTTGGCGGCTTGCAGCAGACTCGCCAGCACGTCTTCTCCGACCTCTCCCTTTCGGACCGCTAAAACGGTTTCCCAAGGATCCCGGCACCAACGTGCCACGTCCGACTCTGCACACGCGTATATCCCATTCGTTGCCCGGCGTTTGCACTGGCAGGGTTCCCGCGGACGACGCTCTTTCCTTCTCGCTCTGGAAGGCTGTCAGTTCCCGCTCCCGCACCGGCTCCGTGACGACTGCACCAGGACACGACACGATGCCGCAGGTCTTCGCCGCCGTAGCGCTCTTCTTTGGATACCTGGCGACGCTCGGAGGACTCCGACTAGGTGCAGTACGCGGGGCGTCTTGTCCAATAGCGGGGCCAACATTTTTTTTTTTTTTTTAACCTTTGAGGGGGTGGGGCTGGGATGACTGGGTTGGCTCGGATGTCCATGACATGGACTGTGTGTATCGGGGGGGGGGGGGGGGGGGGGGGGGGGGAGGGGGCTGCTATGCATATAACTAAAAATCATAGTATCATAGAGTCAAGCTCGTTTCGGGGGCCGGGCTTCAGACCCATAAACCCTATCCCACCCTGGCCACGTCCCTTGTTTTGTCTGTATTTGTTTGTGCGCGGAATTAAGCGCTCGTTGTAGTACGCATGCTGTGCATCGGCTGCGCGTGCACGTTTGAAGAGAACGAGACATCGAAGCGTCATCCGTGCCTTTCTCATTCTGTCAGTGACCGCAGTGGTATCACGCTCTCGCGGTGATGTCGCGGTACAAACAACACGCACCCCGAAGCCGCCCTCACACTGCTAATACAATATAGCATGCAGACACTGTCTAAGACTTGTTTCTTCCTCGTTTAGCGGTCGCATTGGTCATACAAGAACTGTCTGCGGACATTTTCCAAGCACGTATGAAGCGAACAAGCTTCGAACATGCTCGGGGCGTGTCCGCAGTCAGTTCTGCGATCGTCTCTGCAGAGAACTCCGCGGGTCTTTTTTGTATGGTGCAAGGACAGTGTGACCGGGGCGTAAAGATATGCCAGTGCGCGTATACTGTTTCTGCAGACAAACTCGGAATGTCAATCCCCGCAATAATATATAGAGGGACCTCGGGTGGACCACTTGGTCGATAAGGAACATTTACATAAAAATAAGAATGGGTTTTGTCTCCGTCGTATACGATACTAATTAAGATGTTTCACACACTCACGTTATGGTCGATCCCGCAGTAATGCATGCTGCATTCTGAAGTCGAAAAGCTTTTGTTTCGGCCGCGTGTTGCCACGACCCCTCCGTATAGACCCCAGTGATTGACCCAACGTGTTTTTTCTTAATTTATTTTCTCGTAAAATAAGGTGCATATGATTATGCTTCAGAGCGCGCATGCAATAATTTCCGTAGAACTATCTTTTTTTTTTTTTTTTTTTTTTTTAATAAGGAAGCTGGTCGTTAGATGTTCAGGGGCCATAAAATGAGAGCAAAGATATACTTTGTGCCGTGATGCGATCGCCAGTTGGAAGTTAATTTTAAGCAGCAAGCTCGAGGTCATCGCTCTTGACAGCTCCATACTTGCAAGAAAGCTCGTACAGCAGAAGCACCAATCAAACTTCATTCACACGCTCGTAGACCTTTTAGTGATCTTTGCGAAACTGTTCTCTGCTGATATATTATACTCCCAGTCTCTGCCTTCCAACCGTAACATTCTGTCACTTGCACTATCAATTTCTTGTCTTAAAGGGGCCGTAAAACGTTGTTTGGTAAGAGTGTTTCTTACTTTACACAAGCTTACTGGCACTAGTTAGACCAAGTATACTCGTACGCGGCGCACCGACCAAGCTTCTTGATCGTTGCGTAATTTCAAGGTAAAAAACAGACGTTCAGTCTCTCCTTCATGAAATTTGCTGACGCACTTGTGGGGATCCTTATGTTGGCGTTATCAACAAAGGCGATTCCCTGGATTTCGTCATTTAAAAAGCGATGGAACGTTTTTTTGTACTTTGTGCAGGTAACGCTTAGAACGAATCCCTGATGTTAATGACCTATGAAACACGCGTTCGTTTTTCCCCACACTTAATAGAAGTCTCAAAAAATAATAAAGAAAAACCAGCAGCGTTCATCCCCTCAATAAGCTTCGGTTTGGGCTAGTTGGTTTTTCATTATTTTTTGTTCTTAATTCACCCCCTCAACTCGCAACCAGAACAAGCAGCCACGTGATCTGGAGCCGGTTATATGCCGCCAATGTTGGTCATAGCCACGCGCTGGGGCTGGCAAAGCACATGACAGGCGCCGAGTTCAAGACATTGCTATATGGCTCGGCTATTGTCGTCATTACAGCGATCGGACACGGGCCGCTACAGGAAGGCTTGTCGAGCTGTTGATTACCACGGGGCCAAATCGAGTGCTCACGCAATGCTCGGGTCCAATCTATCAGCTGCACTCAAATGTTATCACTGGGGGGTACTGCGACCCCCCATTTACGTCATCAAGTTTTGCGAAGGAGAGATTGAAAGAAAACGCTCGCTTTTGCTCTTGAAATTACACTGCAACAAATGAGTTTCGTGGTCAGAGGCGAACTTGGGTCTCACTAGTGCCAGTAAACTCGTGTAAAGTGAAAAACATTCCAAGCGAATATCGCTGCACGGCCCCTTTAGAAGTGTCGTGAAACGATATACGATATCGGGTTGGAATGTTTATGATTTTCCAAAGGCGTGGTCCTTGTATGGCCCAAGTATGCTCGCACAAACCGCAACTGATTCAGAAGCTTCTTTGTCGCGGTGAAATAGCGAGGATAAAAGAAGACAATTTCTTTCAGTCTGGCCTCAGCAAAGCTTGTTGACGTAGTTGTGGGATCAAGACCGCCCGCCTGATGACAGTTGAGCGCGGCCCATGGATTGGACACGAGAACTGCGTGAGCACTGGACTTTGGCTCGTAACAGTGAATGCCTTGGCGGACACTCGGGCGGCTCGTGTCCAACCACTGCGGGAATGAGAATAGCCGAACTCTAACAATGCCTGGAGCTCAGCATGCGTTTTCTACTTTGCCGACCCCGGCGTGTGGCTATGATTAACGTTGGGGCATAGGGTAGGCACCAGGCCACGTGACCGCTTCTTCTGCCTCCGAGTTGAGGGGATGAACGATGCTCATATTTCTTGAACTTTTATGGCGACTGTCATTTCCTAGAAAGAAAAACTCAGGCAAGTGCATTCAGCTATTAACGTTAGGGAGTGATTGTAAGTAGCATTAAGCCAAAGTAGAGCTCCGCGGTGGCGAAATTTAAATGCGGCTCATATGGTGGACACGAGCAGTGCGTGGGCATTTGATTTTGGCTCGTGGTAATCAATGCCTCGACATGCCTCCGAATAAAGTTAAGTAGAGGAGGGGTAGTTAGCTCAGCGAGTGCTCACGGTTGCCGCGCATCGTGTCGACGGCACGAGAGGGTGCCACTGAAGCATGGGCTGTAGTAGCGCATAAACCACACATCAGTTGCTGCGCTATGGTCGTTGTCGTCGTCGTCGCTGTCGCCGCAGTCGATTCGGCATTGCACTTCAATCGGGATAAGCGACAGAAAACACGGGCGAAAGATCTGAACGGGAGGCAGTTCGCGCTGCCAAACCGCCAAGCCAAACCTGCTCGCCGAAGGCCCTCATAACGCTTGGATCTTCCAGCCCATGCCACCGCAGCGCCGCTGCGTACATCCGGATCCTTTCCACACTCGCCGCTTCATAGCAATGCATGAAGCGCGTCTGTGCCTGATCTCACCCCCCCCCCCCCCCCCCCCCCCCCCACCTCCTCCTCTAGTTCGCTGTTATCCGGGTAGTCGTTCGTGCCCAATCGCTGCGATGACGGGAATAGACGAACCTTAACAACGTGTGGAACTGAACGGGTGCCCTCTGCTTTGGCAACCCCAGCGTGTGGGTATGATAAACATGGGTGGCGCGAATAATGGGCTGCGGTATTGATGTTTGCTGTAGAGTATGCACTGAACTCAGATGCTATATTTCCCGAGATATGGTGCAGCCATATTGCTGGACCTAGCAGTTATGTGAAAAGTTGTTGTAAAGGAACAACCAAGCTCAATAGCGAATGATTTGAATAGTGTAAAAAAGAAATTTTCCGAACAATCGACATTTCTGCATGGCATATTGAATGATCCAGGTCACACTATTTTTCCGCTTTTCTTTAGTATATGCTTAATTGTCAAATCTTTGCAGGATTTTTATATTTACAGTGGCACTATCATATATATATATATATCATTTGATGTATGCAGGACAAAATCATGCAAGCCGCCGTTCTTGATTTGATACGTTATAATGCAAAAATAGAGTACTATACAATCATGGAAATACCATAAATACAACACTACGTATCTAGGTTAGGGATAAATACAATAAAGGCTTGTTAAGTAGGGAGATAAACACGCGAATTAATTAGTCCACCAGTTTCTGACAAGTTTCAAATGTCTTCGTCTGCAACTACGGATCTACCATACTACGTATTGTGCCTGAGTCACTTGTCAGTAGTCAAAAGCTACTGGCTCCGTGAGCCAATTAGCACGACAGTGCGAAGACACATGACAGTTCCCTACAAGAGGTCTGCATTCTGAAAGTGCGTTATTAGGTATCTCGAACCGAAGCTTTCATTGGTTCTCTAGTACAGTTGCTTTCGCCATTTGCAGGTTTTGCTTAAACATAGTATACGTATATCAGAGTCAAAACCCGCATCAGATCACACCTCGTCTGTACGTACAAAACTCAGGATAACTTAAAAAAAAATAGCCAACTTGGTCTTGACGAAATTGAGCGACCTGTCAGCATCCGACTCCATCGTTAAGCTCATTATGCTCCAACAGAAAAAAAAAAAGAGGAAACCAGCGAGCTCAGGTTAGGCCCTTGCAACAACTCGACTGCACTGACAGATCCAAGCAAATCTACACAACGACAACACACCAAAAAGTTAAATCCCATAAGCTCCCCAAGCACCGAGCCCAGAAAATCACAAGGGGCAAAGACACCCCCACAGCTTGGCAACGGCGCAGGACTACCCTTGTACGAGCCACGGCTGACAAAAGCCACAAAAGAAGACGAGACACTTCTTGCTCAAGTCATCGACGCCGTTCTCTCCGAGGCGACGGACAAGCCACAGAAATAACCGTTCTCTGCCGCAACTCGAAGGCGTCACAAGAAGTCAGACCAGTCAACGCCGAGAGGTCGCAAATCCTTCAGCGTCTCCGCGTCGTCAGGCGATACCACCTAGAAGACAAGGCCCGAACCTTTGCTTTCCATACGTCATTATGCGTGGGCCCACGCCGCGTCGCCTAGCTCGCGTCGGCTTCG